GCGGATACAAGGGTTTTAGTAGCTTACGGATATTCTGAATTGCATCTGTTGTTTGGGTTTATTACAATATTGCCTCAAATCTTGACGTGTATTTCGTCTTGACCTCGGAACCCTTGGGCTTGTTAAGTAACAAATTGAGTCCAATGAGCCCATCAAGTGTCTCTCAAATTGAGTTTCGTTTACAGGCCTCAGCCTAATGATATTTGAATGGGCTTAGCTTAAGAGATTTCTATAGAAAAAATAAAGATAAATAAACATAAAAAAAGGGGCTCAAGCTCATTTAATATATGTAAGAATAATAAAAATAAATTATTTCCATGTAATTTTAACTAGTACAACGCCCGTGTATTGCACGGGTGCTTGTTAATTTTTTCTTAAAATCTAAAATCAAAGAAAAAGTAGTTGAAAATTTAAATACTTTTTATAAAAATATAGATATTATTATACATTTATAACACTTTACGTGTGTTATATTATAATAATTTTTTAACTTACAACATATAACTACATTAAACATAAATATATCAATTGAGAAGTAATTTTATTTTTCTAATGAATTTTAATAAATAATATTATTTTTTATTATTATAAATATAAATATAATTTATTTATTTCATATATACAATATGGATGTCAAATCGAAGATCATCAAAAGCTGATTAATTTGATATATTATATATGTAAAACCGATAAGAAATACAAAAGTTATCAACCTTTAAAATACATTTATAATTCAATAGCTAATTGAAGGAAACAAATCAAAAGTTAGGGATATATTAGTCACTTAGTGGCTCACTATGTAAGGTTACAAAGAATTAAAGGTTATAATAGTACAATTGATATTAAAATACCCAAGTTAGCTAAATAATATTTATGGAATGTCCGAACGTAGATTATTAATTAATTATTAATATATCAATATTATTTGTCCAAACTTAATTACGAAGCATGATTCTTCGCCAAGTAGGATTCTGAAGCACCAGAAGCAGCCACGTAGGCTCAGCGCATTCGGAAATTATATATAGGAGTGATATCTCAAACTGTAAATGATATCTTATCTCATTATAAATATTTATGACGAGGAATATATAAAAATATGTGTGCATAAATTTTATGTGTGCATAAATTTATCTCATATATATATGTGTGCATAAATTTTATTTTTAAAATTTAAAAATATTTTAAAAAATACATAGACGGTAATCAGGGTAAACCAGGTTAACCCGATGAACTCGGGTCGATCGGGTTTGACAAGGCCCATCGTTGCCAAATCTGAATGACCCACTCATATTGTCTCGCCTTCTGGTTACCCACCGACTAACAAATATATGGTTCGGTCTGTTTTTTAATTTTAATACTTCGTTTTGCCTTTAATGAATCTATTTCACAACAATAATACAAAATACAAATGAATATTTATAATGCTCAATTGCTCGATGATCATCTTGAATATATAAAAAAGTTACCTAAATACCCCCATTACGATACATTTTTTAGTAAAATCAAAAGTCAATCTCGAGCACTTGAATTTTCTGTTCAGTCGAGTCGACCCTCAAAATGCTCAAAACTCGAGCAACAACCGAAAAAAGTCGAGCCTAACTTGATAAGACTAATGCTTAACTCCGAGTAGTTGGTTTGCACCAATAGGCATAAGGGGCATGAACCTTCATTCATCTAGAGACGTTAGAGTAAAATGTAATTGTTTTATGTTCACATTTTACCAGGTTTGGTTCCTTGATTGGCATGATTATAATAATAAGAATTTGAATATCTTAATGAGCTAAGTGTAATCGGCTTTTACCCGTTATAACCTTTAATTTAATATAATATCTTGAAATATTTTAGCTTTCTGAAATCATATGAATGCAATTAAAGATATTTTAACATATTAAACAGCTAATCATTAATTTATCAAATATTTTTGCAAATCAAACTCATCCAATCAATTAGTCAAAAACTATTAATTCTATAGGTTCATCCATTTAACGAATCAAAAGTCAAAACTATTAATTCAATCGACTATCCCTCTAATTTCCATCCGAGATATAAAGGGACTTATACCAAAAACCCAGATAAGATATTATTAGTGATGAATCAACTATCGGTTATTCGCTATCTGATGTGTACCGAACCGGTCATCTAACACGTACAAACATTACTCACAATATATAACTATCCACCTTTGAGCAATGTGTACTCATAAATCCATCTCATATGATTGATCTATATTATGAAATTCATTAAGAAGAATATAAAATTGTGAAGATTTATTCGGAGAAGAAAATTGTGGTTCTTGGAACAATAATAACAATTATCTAAATTAGATTTAGAAAACAGTCACTATCAACCATAAAAATATTCAATGTTTGCTCCCTTTTCGACAATTTATTAGGTCATTGACGAATAACATTCATAATCTTTGGCATCACTCATAATCATGGAAAAGGTATTATACCATGATTTTGTGTTGTTATTATTAGGGGCATAAAGATAAATTTTTCGGGACACTCTTCCCTAGCATGGCCATTCCTCTCTTACCCTTTACAACTCCAATTATTTCAAATTAGCATGGACCCTAATATCCTATGTCAACCTTACCTAAAATCAATATTAATGCATGTAGGTTTTTATTTTATTAAACACATACAGTTTTGCTATGGAGCTATCGGTTCGGCTTGTGGAGCCATCCAAAGTTATTCACAAATAGTGTATTGACACGTGTCCTACAATAAATGCACTTTGGACAAGTGTCAATACCCTAAGTGATGGATGACTCCATAAGAAAATCATCTGATGACTCCATAGAATTTTTGTAAATACATATTAATGTATATATATTGAATGTCAAAAAATAGACATGACAATCATCAGTTACTGTTCTCGTTGTAACACTACCAAAATCATCGATTATTGTTCTCGTTGTAACACTACCAAAATCGACAATCCATATTTTGTCCTCCACAATTCGGTAAGTCGAATTGTATACTAATTTGACAAAATAGATTATTGCATATCCTTAATTACATCTTCTAACTATATGAAGCAATAGTGCACTTAAAAAAGTAACTTTTTTTTTTTAAGAAAGAATGTATGTGGTTGGTATGTACATGTCGTATAAACACTGTTTATATGTTCGTGTATTTGTATGTATATTGGAGTTCTCAAATTTTAGTGAGAATCGATCGTTGCGTAAAAACTCGAATTGAATTATGTTGTCTATTCAATGTTTATGTCATATGTATCACACTCGTCAATTATACAACACCATGAGAATCACATTGTAGTTGCAATTGACATTCCATTGTCAATGTGCTAAAATAGCTTTGCAAATGATACTTTATCACATAGCGTCGTGTAATATATATATATATATATTGTATTTAATTCTCGTACCGAAACGTTGTCCATTGAATTTATAGTCGGTTACATTGTATTTTTTTTAATCATATCTTCTTTTCTCAAAACGCTGCTCTTTTAACTTTTTAGAATTAGCGTTTCATGTTTAAAAGGCTAATCAAATAAGTCGGTTATCACATGAGCTAATTAACGAATTTGATTGGTCAAACATTTTAATAAAGTTCAATGTGCTAATTTAGCAACAATTTGCTAATAAACAAATCAAACCATAACATTATCCTACAATTATACATATACATATATATATATGTGTGTGTGTGTGTGTGTGTGTGTGTGTGTGTGTGTGTGAGTATGTGAGGAGAGAGAGATAGAGGGGTAAAATGGAAGCAAAGGTGGGAGAAAATTTTGAAGAAAGAAATAGAAAGAAAAAGGTGGTTGATGCATGGTGGGGCTTGAAAGAGGCTCAACTCAACACAAATAACTTTTGGTGCATGACAAATAAAAAAGGACCAATTGGGCCCTTTAGGCCTGCACCGGTGGAGGGCCTGGAAAGGGACACTCACTTTTGTCACTAATTTTGCAAAATCACGCAATGAGCTGTGGGAACAAGCCCAAGTGGAACTGCCCCATTGGTGGGCCGGTTAGACCCCACTTTCCAAATTATAATAATACCAAAAAAAATAATAATAATAATAATAATAATAATAATAATAATAATAATAATAATAACAACCACATTCGAAAAATTGATGTTGAAAAATTAATTAGCAATAGTTATTTTTTGAAAATGTGAGATAGTGGAGGTAGAATTCACATTTTTTGAAAATGTGAGATAGGGATGGCTCCCTTATGGAGTCATTCATAATTCGATATACTGACACAGGTTTAATTTGTATTTATTGTAGGATACGTGTCAATACACTATTTGTGAATAATTGTGGATGGCTCCATAAGTCTAACCATCTGATGGCTTCATAATAAAACTGCTTTCATTTAAAAATGCCATGCAAAGTTATTTGGAAATAAATAAATCAGAGATATATGAATAATTAATTATCATGTGTGTTATGTAAATTTAGATTCGAACTCAATCTTATGGTCCTCTTCGACGAGTCTGGTGTTTACGAGTTAATGTACTAATACGCTATCTCTCACATTTTCCCATTGTTTAATTTTAAGGATTGGGGTATGAGTTATTGTTGATTCAGTAAAACTGTCGTTAGATAAATGTAAATGTAACTCGATTGTACTTTTTCAACTAACACACATACTATTCAAATTGAAATGTCATACTATAGAAAAAGTATTTAAATAGTAACAAAACATTTTACAGCATTAATGAAATTGCAATTCAACTGACTTAACAATTAGATCAGACATGCCCAAGAATTTATACTTATTTGTTATGTGCTCTCACTCACACTTTGCCATTGTTTAATACTTAAGGATTATGTTTT